GCGTGAGAGAGGAAAACACATTTAAAACTCTGGAAATGCGTCTTCACTTCGATTCAGACGTTTAAAACAATCACTGCATTCTCAGTTCCGAAATTCGTTGTCGGTCTATCTTCCATTGGTGTCGCTTTCTCTATTTCGCTAGAGTAGTCTGTCGTTCGTCGCCAATTCAGAGCTCTCATGTCGCCATTTCAAGGCCATGTCGCTTGTCGGAATTTACCCCTAACAGGGCCTCATTAAATGGAACTAAATCGATTTTGGGATAAGAAGAGATGAATCTGTCCCCATAAAGCGCCTCGACACTCGGTTGGTCCGTAGACTTCGTAACTGAACTTCGTGCTTCTGGCTCTTTCTGGCAAAATGACGTAGGAGGAGTAAATTAAACAAATTACGAAACCTGGGCAAAAGGCCACTCCACCTGTCCTTTATTTTTGTTGTTGATGTAGATAATTTTAAATACCGCATAATATATCTCGTTAGTTGGCCTTCAAAAATAACCTTTTAGCCCGGAAAAAGCTTTTCTAGGATCTTCCTCCGATGGGGTCAAAACCAACGGGACAAGAGACAGCAGTGGTTAACTTCGTCACGGTTTGCGTATCTTGAAAAGTTTAGCCTAAATTTTTGAAGTTCCTCCGAGTTCGACGTTTGATGGTTTATTATTATCTCTTTGGTGTTTTTCTATCTTAGTAAGCAACTATTTTCAGCTTTCCTTAATTCAAAGGTAATATTGTATGCGGTCAAAATACCGTGACTAAGCTCCTTTAATAAAGAACCCATGGGCTCTGGTATGTTTGTTTCACCGTATCTCGCTTACTATGATTAACTTGAGATGAATTACGTCCGGTAGGGTCAAGTTTCCGTAGAGGATTCTCGCTCGAGTGATAGAGTGGAGAACACAAAGAACAGACAGGACCTTATTCCACATTTAACAGAGCTTTGCAGTGACCATAGCATCAAGCCAGAAAGCTAGCTGGCAACTTTATAAAGGTAAGCAATAAGCAGAAGTTCATGTTTTGTAAATAACGTGGAAGTAATTGTGGCTATTTATGTAATGGGTCAGCCTTTTCATTCTTGACCTTGGTGTGTATTCGGCGCTGCTGGGGAAACTCCGTCGATGACACTACACCCTATACTAGAGGATTCACTGAAAATTACTCATTGCTCTCATTTTTTCCTCAACCAAAATTACAATACTTGCTCACATCGGGTTAATTTTGCGTGGATTCTTCTAGGTAAGAGCAATCACAAACCTTCGATTAAACTGTAGTGACCTTGGCATTGTCCCGGCATTGTCCTTTGGTAGCTTGTTACAAACTAGACAAAATTTCAATTGGATAGATAACTGTCACAGAGAAGTCTACTTTTTACAGCATTTCCCGGCCGATAAGTAAATTTTTATGGGCTTTCTTGTATAGTTTTGTTTAGGAAGAAGTCAGTCACGTTTCTCGCTTTGGAAAGCGAATTACCTTCCTGTGTGTTGCAAAATGAAGAAATCCCCGCACATGTCTGGGATTATCCAGTGTAAATCGATGAAACAGATATTTTTATTTAGCGTTTAAATACCAAAGCTGAATTCATGACCGACTTAAGATTTTTCTAATGCCGAGAGGCTTTTAATCCTTTACGAGGATAAACCCGGGACCAAAGTAGGAGAAAATCTTTCCTCGAGACATGACCTATTATGATGAGAACCAAATATTTGTTTGGCTGTTTCTGACAGCAACTGTCGGCGTAAACGAGAACATTATTGGCAGGGGGCTTTTGATAAGTTTTAGGGCGGACACCCTAAAACTGACAAACTAATATGTCGCTGCCAATGAATAAGATTAACCAAAAATGCATAAGATCGTTTCTCGGCCCAAATTTTGCTTGATAGAGACTTAGATAAGGGAATTGGAAAGAATTATAGAGAAAAAAGAAAGTTTTGGAAAAATTGTGCATTCCTTTAACCATTTAACACCCAAATTTTCTCTAAAAATGCCGTTTTTAACCCTTAAATCAGCTTTTTGGCTACCATGACGCTTAATGGGCCTTAGTCTTGCTGAAAAAGCTATTTTTTTTCTTTACCAAAAATATAGATTTCCCGAAGTTAAGTTACGAAAATGGACAGTATTTTAATTTGGTGCGTGCGCATAAGCCAAAATCTCCTTTTCCTCGGCCCTTTTATTCTCGCTACCTTTTGCCTTTCATATTCTTTCTGGCTGCCGTAAAAAGTTGGATGTTAATTATGGGTAAAGCCTGGAAATGGGACCTTGATCAATTATACGTATAATGAGCCATTTTAACACCATTTCTGCGCCAAAACTGTTAACGTTGTTTTTCAATTTGTTACCTTAGAATGCCGTTGATATCCAAAACCGCCTGTTGTGCGGATAAGTCTATCCTAGCTCTCTGTCTGCTTATCAAAACCATGTGGTGACGTGGAAATTGAGGACGTCACAAGTGGTACAAAGAGCACGACCACTCAGCGCGCGTATATGTTATGTTGGGAGAAAAAAGGTTAAATTTTGGCGACCAGGGGTATTTCTACTCCCCCCCTGGATGGGATGCTAGTCCATCGCAGGGTTACCAACAGTATTAAATTCGCCGGCACCCATTTATAAACCTGGGTGGAGGGAGGCACTGTAAGAGTAAAGTGTCTTGCCCAAGAACAGAACACGATGCCCCCCGCCAGGGTTCGAACACGGACCGCTCGATCCGGAGTCGAGCGCACAAACCATGAGGTCACCGTGCCTTCCCTCCTTTGCGAAAATGAAACTATTGATATTTTAAAACCGTCTAAAGTGCTGGCCTCTTTGAACACAAAGTTTAATTCGGCGGTTAAATTATAGCCAACTTAAACTACGGCCTTGTATATATCTGCTGCTAAGAAGCTGTGAATAAAAAGTCAGTCCGGATCAGTGATGGCGGTAAGCGGGAGGTGCGGTCCTCTAAATAATGCGAAGGAATTATTATCGAGTGGTAAGGATTCGAGTTGTTGTTTTCGTCGTCGAGCAAGAAATTTCAGTTGATTTTGATTCAGCGGCGCGGTGTCTCATATCAGTCAGGTGTGGTTGAACGTTATCAAACAATCGTATTTTTCGTATTTTTATTAATAGGTATTCTCGTACTGAAAGTCTACTATGAGGACCCCCTCTGAGTTCATGGCAGACGGGCCCCACTCAGCTGTTAACGGTATCGGGCCTCATCACATGGAGGAACCTGCCGCACAAAATGGTCACGTGAGTACGCCCACATCTCTTTCACAGGGTGACACTGCTCCGTCGCTCGTTAATCGGAGAAAAGCAAATGACGTCCATGCTAATGGCATCCAGTCCACCAAGGCCGTCAGAAATAAGAATGACATCATCAATTTGTCGCCAGGCCTACCAGGTTTCAGCGTCGACATTTTAGGATCCCTCATGTTGCTATGGCCACCGTTGTGCGTTTCGTATTTTTGGCTCGCCTGTCACTCTTACCAGTGTTCTCTCGGAGATCTGGGAGGACAAGTGCTCAGTAAGATATCCGATGGAGCCATCATCGATTTCATGAAGCAAAACTTCCCGGAGGTTAACGCCGGTGCCATCAAGTTGTACAGCCTCTGGATGCTGCTGCAGGTGATTTTGTTCCTCGCGCTCCCTGGCCGTATCAGACGAGGAACGGCCACGCCTGCTGGGAATGTGCTTACCTACAAGTGTAATGGCATAAGCGCTTGGGTTGTAACGCACCTTCTGTTCTTCATCCTAGTTAAGAAGGGTTTTATTGATGCCACAATCATTAGTGACAACTGGGGAGCCCTGATGGTTATCACCAATGTGTTTGGCTTCAGCTTGGCTTTCGTCTCGTATGTCAAAGCGCACTATTTTCCGAGTCATCGAGAAGATCGGTGCTTCAGTGGATCAGTCTTTTACGACTTCTTTATGGGTGTGGAGCACAACCCCAGAATTGGCCCTTTTGATTTCAAACTTTTCTTTAACGGAAGACCTGGAATAGTGGCGTGGACTTTGATAAACCTGTCATTTGCTGCCAAACAGTATAAAGACTTTGGCTACGTCAGCAACTCCATGATTCTCCTCAACATATTACACGGGACTTATGTTGTGGACTTCTTCCTTAACGAATCTTGGTATCTGCGCACAATCGACATGGCTCACGACCACTTTGGCTTCTACCTGGCCTGGGGAGACACATGCTGGCTTCCCTTCATGTACACTCTCCAAAGTGTCTACCTGGCTCGAAATCCAGTGAGCCTGCCCTGGTGGGGATGTGCAGCAACTCTCTTGGTTGGCCTGGCCGGCTACATGATCTTCCGTTCCGTCAACCACCAGAAAGATTACTTCCGGGTAGAGATGAAGACGAATGGAAAGTGTACGATCTGGGGAAAGCCGGCTCGGTACATTTTGGCGCCTTATGTTACCACTGACGCGGAAAAAAAGCACTCGTACCTTCTGGCCTCTGGTTGGTGGGGACTTTCCCGCCATTTCAATTACGTCGGAGATCTGCTGAACGCGCTCTCCTATTGCCTTGCGTGTGGATTTGGTCACGTGCTACCTTATTTCTACATCGTTTTCATGCTGATTCTCCTGATCCACCGTTCCTTCCGCGACGATGTCAGATGCAGGCAGAAATATGGTGCACTCTGGGACAAGTACTGTCAGATGGTCCCCTACAAGATCATTCCTTATGTGTTTTGATGAAAGCTGTGGCCGACTGCAATCACATACAGTATTTGTTTATTTGCTGAAGATTACACTGCATCAGTGAACTATTTGTTATATTGACTTTTGCTATTGATTTTTATTATTCTCGTTGCTTGTTCGCCTGATATTTTTTGCTGATATTGTAAGAAACAAATTTTAGATACTAGCTTTTTGGGGGGAAATGAAGGGCTAAAGGAAGAACCCCGGGCTGCATTGATATTTATTGGGTTTTTATTTGTTTTGTCTCGTCCTTGGACCTTGTAAGAGTGACATCACATTCAGCCAAGGCAAAATAAAAGTCATACAATTGACGTCAAGAGGTTTTATTAGTACTTGTTTTAAGTCTTGATAAATGTGACATGCCCAATTTGCAATTGAGCGATAAACTTAGAACGCACAAAGATGACGTTATGTAGGTGCTGATTCTGCGATATCAGGCAATTCCATCTCAGTGTTACTATAGCTACACAGTGCTACTGTAGGTAAAGTGGTTTCGTAAGGTCTTGGGGAAGTGCGAGGCGATCGCGAATCACTCAAAACTGTCAAATTTGCATCTACTGCAAACGCAGGCGAATGGACCCTTTGCATGAACCAATCACATGCAAAAATCTGAGATGTTCGATAGCACGCTAATCACTGGGACATTCAAAACAGAGAAATCAAGCTTCACTGGTTTAAGTCCTTTCGTTTTGTAGGTTACGTTTTTCCACTCATTTGCTATCCAAAATTATGTGGATCCTGTGCCATGTGACCGGTCATGTAGAGGGTCTATTTCCGCCAGTTGTTTTACCGCGTCTGCTTTCGCAGGCTGCAAGTTGTGCTCAGTACCGAATACTATTGTACGTGGCGAAGCCTTTTGCATGACTTTAGAATATGGAAGAAACAAACGAAAACACTCGTGGTTGAAAAAAGAGGGGTGGATTGGGAGGAAGAGAAAGGAGCCACCCCTTCCTTGTTTTCCTTTTTCACTCACGACCATTCGACATTTCTCTTCACAGTCTCTCGGGAGCTCAAATGGGACAGACGTAAGGGAGGTTATGTTATTGGTTTGACACGTGTACGACAAAGAATTCAACATGATTGCTTGTTTTCACAGATGGTAAACTAATTTCGTGCGGGGTGAAAAACAAGCAAAGACGCGGTATCTGCTCTTCCAAATTACTTGTGTTGTTGTCAGTCGTGGTTCTTGTCGATACTTGTTTTTGCTATAGTTCTTGTTGTTGTTGGTTTTGTTGTTGTTGTTGTTGTTGTTGTTGTTGTTGTTCTTCTTCTTCTTCTTCTTCTTCTTCTCTTCTCCCTCTTCATCTTCTTCTAGCGAGTTTGTAAACCTTACATTTTGAGTGTTAGCCCTTAGTCACAGAAAAGTCACTTTGCTCTGGAGAAGGGCCAACGCTCAAAACCGGCAGCTTTACAAACTCACCATGGTGGTTTCATTTTTTTCATTTATTTATTCCATTCTAAAATTACAAAGATAAATATAAAGTAAACAAGTAAGAGGAGAAATGGAAAAGGGCAAAAATATAGCAAGCTAACATGGTGGTTTATTTACCTATAGAAACTTAATTCAATCTTAAACAGCTAGGTGTTTCACTTGCCTGTCGACGCAGCACAACAGCTTTTTACACCTAACAACTTTGACGGGTTGTTTCCAAGGGAACTGAACAAATGTGTGAAAAGAAGGCATGATCTAGGCACTATGCTTCGGTAGGAATGATTTCGTACTATAAAAGTGAAGAAAGGGGGACTGTTCGCGCTGATAAGTTCTTGACCGAAAACTTCAACAGTTCAATGCGTGTCAACAATATGGCGGAGAAGGTCACGGAAATATGGACAGAGTGGAACTGGACACAAGTTTTGTGTACATGTAATGTCAATCACGGGATAACGATGATTTCAACAATAGGTGTAATCAAAGAATTCACGACCAGCTTTGTTTCGCATTCCATGGTTAACGTGTACATCTTCTGTACAAGAAATAGAATCGGCTTTACCAGGATGAAAAAAAGAAGTTTTATATTAAAGGGCAACGAGGAAATGCATTCAAACTCGGCGTCTTATGTGGGATAAAAATCCAGCAACCGACACAATAGGGATTTCTAAAGACAATCATTTTTTAAAGTTCATAGAATGCCGAGCATTCAAAACGCTCAGTGCGATCTTGCATATAATAAAGATATCTCATAAAGATAACAAGTGATCGCTAACGCCAGGGGTCTCCTGTCTATGCATACTCGGTAACAAGACTACACGGTACAGGTTAGGTTACATGCATTCACCCTCTCAGTCTCTTTGACGTTGGGTCAGCTCCCACTAACAATAACATAATGAAAGCTTTTCTGCTTTTAAGAGAAATTAAATATTTTATTATACAAACACCTGAGCAGTGAAGCGGTGAACATTTGTCACTTGTCAAACACCAAAAGAAACGTGTCATTTCCAACTCGTGTGTCACTAATAATAAGAAATAGCTTCGCTCGGCACGTTTGGATATTTTCAGTTTCTATCAACATACCACGCACCAAAATAGCTCTGAGGGTTACATACTGAAACGTTAGAACTAAGAACGCCCCAATAACAGAATGGGAAGCCAGGACCTCTAAAGGATGGTTTGTAGAAAGACAAGGTATTGCGCCCATATCGCTTATTCATTTACGGTCATCACATCCACTACAGCTAAAATATATAAATCATTATAGCATCTTAGCGAGATCTTATAAATTGTGTCCAGTCGCTGTGCTGTGGTTTAAGTGTTATCTTTCATGTGATTTTATATTCATGAGACTTAATTTGATCGTACGTAAATAAAACACTTTGACTTGTAGGCTCGCCAACAACTTCAGACACGGTGGCACAGCTGCTGTTCCGTCGCCGGATTCGGGAGAAGTCATAACCGTAATTCGGTGAACCATTTCCTATAATACGATAAACAAGCCGGCTACCAGGTGAGTCGTTGCTGTTCAAAGCATCATTTAGGCTCAGCACTCTCCCATTCTGTTCGTGGCTTGGCGCAATATTGAACTAATGGCTGTGTTTTCAAACAAACCGCAACGATATTGCGGTCTCTTCCAAACGAACAGCAAATGACTTGTGGCTTAGAATCCATTGTCTTATACAATGCTTGCCGTCGCGATGTCTACATGTTTTCATAAAATCCGTTTTATCATGCAAAGTCAGCTGTGTCATTTGTGCCGAAAGCTTATCGTACTGATGGTCGATGTTTTTGCTTGTTTACTACGAAACCTTAGCCGCTTGAGCTTTCATTGCTTTCAAAACAAACCCAATAGGAAGTCTCTCCCACAGTAGCTGATTCTTAATGATGTGACACTGTTCTAACTTAATGACAAGACGGATGATACAGTTACTACAATGCAGCGTGGAACACAGTAATCAGCGATTTATGTTCGGGTTCCAAGCCAGCCGTTGGCGGGAGTGTTTTGATTCACTAATCGACTTATTAACGTTTTATGGGATAAAATGAAACCGAGCTTAACAGCTTCAATATGCTTGTCAAACCTTAGCTGGCAAGGTGAGTGCAGTTTACAAGATTTCCAATCCTGCGAGCAAGGCTGTTAATGTTAGAATCTATAAACTACAAACATCACCGTAATTTACTGATCGATGTCGTAAAAATAAGTCACAAGAGTTTACATTGTTTCAGAGTTTGTTTAAACAGCGCCGAACTGTCTTTGTAGTGCTTTTGATGTTATATTTCCAAGTTTTACATTCCATAGCTTTCAGATGACATTTAAGCCATTAGTTATTGTCAACCAGGAGAAAAATCTCAAGTGCTCTTGTGTCCATTCTATTGGACACGTACGCCCGCCATAACACAGCCGATAAATTCCCGCCAAACAATAGGAGATAGCGAATATCACTATGACGGACCACGGAAGGACAAACATCTGAACTTTCTTTTGTCTTGTTTTTTTCTTTGTGCGATGCCAATTTGGCGAAGTATTGATAAGGTCATGTGAGAGCATCAAATGCTAGCTATTCGTTGAAATTTTAATCGGCAATTTTTCCTATAATTTTACGGTTGATTTTCAGTCTTAATTTCTTCTCCCCTGCGGGGTAGTAAGCCGTAAAAATTACATACAGCGCTATTCAAACGTTGTGCGGCTATTAAAAAATACCCAAGGGGAATGAAAAACGAAAATTGAAAACAAGTGGATGATCGTGATGCAAAGAATGGAATATTCAAACGTAGGTGGCGTTTTGCCTATTAAGTCCAGCTGTTTAAAGAAGCTTGCTCTATCAATATCCATCCTGGATAGATGAAATAAATCCTTGACAAAAAGAGAGGCTGTTCTAGTATTTTCTTCTCCAATTCAATTAAATTCACAAACGACAAAATAATCCGAACGGGGTCACTTTACGGGCACGAAATTGTTTAGTCCGTCAATCACGGGGCTACTGGCGTGTTTTGTCTTAATTTGTTTTGATGATGAAAACAGTTGGATCAAACAGAATGCCGATTTCACTTTATTCATGAGGAGCAAGTGTCCTTGATCACTGTTTTCCTTTAGCTAATTGCCGCGAAACAAAATAGTTTATTTTTGTTGGTTGGAAATGGTCTGCTTTCTGAGATGCCGCTCGGCAAGTGAGTTTTTGTCTTTTCATTGTAGTGAAAAAAATTTGTAAAATAGCTGAAACAGTTCAATCCTCTATTTACCTTCGCTTTGTTCTGAATGTGTTTTCATTTTCGGCATCGATGTTTTTGTAATCTACGGATAACAAGAAAGGGGGCGTGAGGTATGGTAATTTTGAGCCCCTAAGGCCGCCGTGACTTTCGCTTGTCACTAGTAGCTAATTTAAAATTGAACATAGCTTAAACATATTTTATTATTGCCTCGTTGCAAACTTCTCATACTGCGTGGAAAAGATGACCATTGATAAAATGGACAGCGTAACCACAGGTAACGTGTACTTGTAAAGATAGTATCGAACCACTTCCTGATCAGCCTCTGTTCAGTATGTAACTAAGGATTTTTTAGTGAACGTTATATTGCGACTATGTTGATCACAATAGCACTTCATCAGTCGAATTTCTCCGTAGCATATATACATACTTTGCAGGTATGTATCTCAGTATATGTGGCATATTTTAAAAACCAATTTTCTTTGAAACTGACACGGTGAGCGGTCCGCTAACTAGTGTGTGTCAAGTGCGCCGACTGATACCGTGTGAATGTCGTGCCTGCAGTGTTGGCGATTAATTTATTATGTTTTAGCTCATTGTTTATGAAAGAAAGAAAAACAACAGGTTAGCCTTTTCTTTGCCGGCGAACTTCGGCTCTTGTTTCACGCCGGGCCCGCAGTTTAGTCGATTTCATTTACTACACATGATCCAACCTATGAGAGCTGTGTAAAGTTGAAGAGGAGGCTCTGGGAACGAGAAAGACTGAGAGAATAATAGATGGCGGAAGCGCATACGACCAATCCACATGTCCATTTTATTATTTCCATATTCTCCACAGTGAAGCCAGATTTTAATTATTTCTTTCCTTCTCTTCCCTTCGCGAGAAGCTGTTCCCTTTATCCACAAGACAGGAGTTGACTGTATAAAGTAGTAGTTATGCAAACACTTTCTTGTACGGTACGTTAACTGCTCATTACGGAGGTTTGTACCTCAAAGCAACCAAGTTCAGACGACATCTTTTGTCATTCTTGTCCAAAGCAAGTGCGGCATTATTAACAGACGCACGTCAGACCTAAAAGCTATGCAAACCCCCCGTGTACGGTACCTTGAGAAATTTACAATTGTTGAATAACATGGTTTGTAGAACAAGGACAGTAAACAGGAACCTTTGCCCCCTTTCCTAAAATAAATAAATAAATAAGTGAGAGGCGGAATTTGAAACAAACTTTCCTTCTGAGGTCTTCTGACTTCTTCCAGAAAATCATATCACGAAGACTGCTCGCTATGTTTAATTGAGTTTTTTTGGCTCTGGCAATTTGATGTGAAATTAATTTCCAGGCTCACTCGAATATTTACCTAGAAACTTTTTCATTAAAATGCGTTTCCGTTAATAAAACGACCACTGGCGTTCCAGCCGTTATAGTAAACATCCTTGACAACGGTGCCTGACCAGCGTGACACTCATCCGTGTGTAGCCCAGAAGTTTTCTACATGAAAGAGGCATTCAGTTTCACGGGCTTTCTGAGTTAAAGGACAGATAAATGAAAACCTTATACAGATAATTGCGCGGTAGTTCATCTTCAGACACATCGCTTTTAATTTGAAACTATTCTATTCTCAGGTAAGATTGTTTATCATGATTAACTTAATTCTAAGCGTCGAGGAGGCTAGCCAAACCGCTGAGAGAGCCACTAAGAATATTGTAAATGCTTATTGATTTTCGCATGCTTTTTTTAATGATTGTTTTGAGCATTTGGTGCTAGATCAAGGCCGGGATCAAGGTAATTTCCGCCTTCATACTTGAAGCATAATTCGCCTGGACAGGTCACGCGTCTCTGGTGTGAAAGGCGCTAATGAAGCAATACTGTAAGCACGGCACTGCATGTTTATCTTAAATAAAGGTGTCTAAAACACTAAGCTGTAGGGGAAAACATTGCAAGTGAAATGTTTTTTTACGAAAGTATTTTCTTTTAAGACTCAAAGATTTTTAAGTAAAAAGTCACAGTGGTTAATTGTCTGGCGTGAAACCATGACCGAACACGTTGTCGACAGAAGTACAGCCGAACCTCCACTAAAGGCCACCTCTACATCGGAGTTCCATAATAACAGGCACCACCCTTCCGATCCAGAGGCCAAGACTCCTAGTCTGCGGTTTTGTCTCGACTGTACGCTGACAGTAACGTAAACAAAGAGCAGAACATCGTTTCTTCAGGAACCTATCATCGGTTTCTGTCTTTTCTTTTACGGCTTAAAATTCAATAGGTAGTAACAAGGCCGAAAAAAAATTTACTTACTGTATTTCGTACTGTTATTTAGCTCCCCATCCCTGCCGTCAAACCCCTCCCACCGTATGTTATATAATTAACAATGAAGTAAGGCTGATTACTATTTAGAACCTGAAGCATGACGGGACAACGACATGATAGAGTCCAAACTGAAAGCCACGCGTGGACAGCTGTTTCTCCCTGGTTAAGCCTCGTCAGCACGGTGTAATCAGCCTTGCTTCATTGTTATGTCAGTCTAGTTTTGGCTGATCAGATCTTTTACAGATCCTACGTACACCGGCAGCATTTTCGTTTGCGGTCTCTTGCATCATTGTATATAATTAGCCTCCTGGTAACACAAAGGAACTATTTTCAGATTCCCTCATTACCATTAATTGTCATACCCGTAAAAAACGTAAATTGCAGTTTCGACCTGTAAATTGTGGATAAGTGTATTAATGGTTAACATCAGACTCAAATATTTTTCGTATAAGCCAACAGCAAAACACCCCCTCTCCCTCATATTATATTATCCCCACCCCTGCCGGCCCAAAAAGCTGCGAGGCTAGTTGCAGTGGCGAACGGTACTTCGGCCAGTCTATTGGTCCGATCTCGAAAACTCGGAAGCCACTAATGATGAGTTGCGATTTTTTTCGTCTTTTTAACGTGTTTTATTCGCGTCGTAAGTCTAAATAAGTCTCACTCTCAGATTTCACCCTTCGTCAACCCTTTTAATATGCCTCTCTACCCTCGGCCAGGAGCATGGGCCCTGCCTCGCCCAAATACCATTAGTCTCGTTTTGTATATTGTCTCTGTCTTCAATCTCCTCTCTCTTAAGCCTCATCATTCACATGATTAGCGCCTTTTCTTTCTTCGCTCTGCCATGGAGCATTCGCTTTGTCTAGTTCATTGGTGTGCGCCTGTAAACAAAATGGTAAATCTCCACTAACTAGAGGGTCAAAAGAGCTAATGTTGCTGAACTTTATCGATAATTTCAGAGCTGTCTTTTTAAGCGTTTTACATTCTTAGCACTTCAGTG